CCAGCTGTCCTGGAACTTACTATGTAGACCAGGCTGGACTTGAACTCAGAGTTCTGCCTGCCTTTGCCTCCAGAGTGCTGGTACTAAAGGCGTGCCCCACCACGCCCAGCTCCATGCTTATAGTATTTTTAACAACCAGATTACGATACTCAAAAGTAGTCTTTTCCTTTCCTCTTTCTTTTTGGTGGTGGTACTGAGGACTGGGCCTTGGGCCTCACACATACTAGGCAGGTGCTCTATCACTGAGCTATATCTCTAGCCCTTTTATTAAACTTTAAGTTTTTTTGGGGGGGGGGTCTTTTTTGGGACAGGGTCTCCCTGTAGCCCCAGCTGTCCTTGAATAAACTTTAGGTTTAAAAAATTGAAAAAAAAATTTCTATGTGTATGTGTGTTTTGCCTGCATGTATGTAAGCATACTCGTGTTGTATAATGCCCACAGAGGTCAGAAGAGGGCGTCAGATCCCCTGGAACTGGAGTTACATTAGCTGCCATGTGGGTTCTGGAAACCAAACCTGGGGCTGCAAGAGCAGCCAGTGCTCTTAACTGCTGAGCCATGTCTCCAGCCCCTAAACTTTGGTTTTGAGACAGAGTTCCACTAAGTCTCTTAGGCTGGCCTTAAAACTAAGATCCTCCTGCCTCAGCCTCCCCAGTAGCTGGGGCTCATGCTACCAGGCCTGGCTCTAAGGTAATCTTATGAAACTAAGCCAAATGAAGAAAAAATTCTAATCCTACAAATTGCTAAGCAAGAAAAATGTCACAGAAAAGTAAGAAACAGAAAAACTTCTATTTTTGAGAAATATAGAACAACATTCTTAAGAGTATCAGGAAAAACAACCAGGCAACTTTCATTCACATGTGATGAAAGGGAAATATCTTTACGGAGTTTTTTTCCTTTAATTTTTTACATTTATTTATTTGTCTATCTATTAATTATGTGTGCATGGGGAGAGTGTGCACACACATGTGCAGGTCAGAGGACAACTTGTGGAAGTTGGTCTCTTCTTCTACCAAGTGGGTCCTGGGATCAAATTCAGGCTTGGTTGCAGGCACCTTTACCCAGTGAGCATCTTACCAGCCTTCTCTACAGAGTTTCAAAGCAATAGGAAATAACTTAAGTCTAGTAAGCTTCTAGTAAGCTTCAATCCTTCCTTATCTTTAAAACTACTTAGAATTATTCAAATAGCAACACTGACCTTAAAAATTTTTTAAAAGGGTAAGCCTGATCTACAGAGTGTTCCAGGCCAATTCATGGTACAGGGAGACCCTGTCTCAAAAAAAAAAAAAAAAAAAGGAAACTTCATGAT